GGTCCTGGGCCAGGCTCCTCGGGCCGAGGGCCGAGGGGAGCGTGGTTCACAGCCACAGCCTTACCTGCCGGGAGTCTCGGGCGAGGAAGTCCTCTCTCAGGTTTCCAACTTTCTCCTCTCTGAAGTGGGGAAGATGCATCCCTCCCTCGTGGGATCATCGCAAAGAGGAAATGAAACGACATTAACTTGCCAAGAAGAGATCATCCGCTGCATGCTGTTTTTATAACAGCAAAGCCTCTGCACAGCCAAACCACCCCCACAGTGAGCACATACCACCGTCAGACTAGCCTGGAGTGAGGAGGTGGCCAGAAGGAAGGGCCAGGCCCTCAGCTGGGAAGTGGTGGACCCCCGTGGCCAGCCCCTCTCCTCTGAGCGTGGCAGGACAGGAAGGCAGGGGATGCAGAGCAGAAGAGGTGTGGGCCCAGGCAGCGGCCAGCTTACAGGCTGCTGTACACCCAAGGGGCAGGAGGTGGCCAACACAGGTCCCCACAGAGGGAGGAGGGAGGCCTGAGGCTGGACCCCAGAGTCCCTGGGTCCCGACTGTGCAGCCTTGCTGAGCAGCTGAGGGTCTTTCAGGGGACTTGCCAAGCCCTCGTGCAGGGCCAGGTGGCTTTGCACAGTGGGAAGTTGAGCTGGGACCACGGGGTCATGTCCAGCACAGGGACTCCCCACTCTGGCAGGAGTCAGAGGAGGGCCAAACCTGTTCCTGGGGTCTGAGCACACAGAGAGGCTGGGTCACAACTCGCACTATCCTCCAGTTCAGCATGAGCCTTGATCTCAGACCTCAGCAGGACAAGAAGCTGCCCTTAGGCCAAGGGAATGTGGCCAGTGCTCCCTGCCCCCACCACAGCACCCCTGGACATGTCTGAGTGGGTGAAACCAAGGCGGGGAGGCCAGGTTCCAGTACTGAGTTCTGACCTAAAGCAGGTGGGCCTCTGCTTATCCCTCTACCCAGCAGGGGAGTGTCTCAGAGGAAGGTCAGAGGAGACATTGTGAAATAGATGAGTCTCCGCCTTCTCTGAAAGTCTCATTCAGTGAGAAATTCTTCCACCTTGTTTTGCAAAGCGTTGATATATTCATGTGAAGATCACTTAGCTATTCGTAAGAAAATAGGGCAAAAGCCCCCAAAGTAAAATAGATGGAAAGGCATGAGTTGGAGATGTGAGCGTAGAGTAATGGTTGCCAGACGGGCCGAGGCAGAGGCTCTGGCACAGCCCTCTGCAGCTCCTCTGGGCAGTACAGAACTGAACGTCCCTGAGGAGACCTGGCCGGCCTGTGGACTCCAGTGTGGCTGAGCACACATGGGTCCCCAGCCTCCCCGGGACACGCCTTCAGTCCTATCTGCCTGAGGGTCTGGATGAGGAACAGACAGAACTGCACGCCGGGATTCTCCCACCTAGACGTCCAACACACAAGGAGTGGTCCACTCCGATTTCCCACTGCCGTGACCAAGAAACTCGGTCAAGGACAACTAGAAGAGGAAAGGTCTATTGCGGCTCATGGCTTCGGAGGTGTCAGTCCAGAGGCAGACGCTCCATTCCTCCAGGCTGGAGGTGAGGCAGAGCATCATGGCGGAGGGAAGCCGCGGGAACAGGAATTCCGGAAGCAGAGAGACTAAGCTCAGGTCCCCAGACGCACACCCCCAAGGCAGCCCCTGTGGCCACCTCCTCCACCACAGCCCACCAGCCTGTGGTCACCACCCAGTTGACCCTGTCGAGTTCAGGCTCTCGTGGCCCAGACACTTCACCTCTGAACGTCCTTGCACTGGGGACACCTCGTCTACACCCCAACACTAAAAATCAACAGTAAACACCATCAAGAGAGGAGAAAACAGTCACCAACAGCAAGAACCAGGGAAGGGAGATGACCAAGAGCTGTGGATCACAACAGCAGGAGAACCCACCTGGTCAGAGGGCCTGGGGGCCGCCCAGAGACTCCACTGCCACCGTCCTCTGTCCCTGAGGCCCTCAGGCACAGCTCCAGGCAGGGCCTGGGAGGTCAGGGAGGCCGCAGGGAGGGGCCGCTGCCCTCTGGGGTGCTGGCTCCAGCACAGGGCAGCCCTCTCCGAGGACGGCTTCTGTGGACTTTGGGGATGGGACCTTCAACTCCTGTACAGTAAAACTGTTAAAATATATAAGTGAGCATCAGAATGCGATGCCCAGTGGGAGGTGGGGGTGAGTAGGAGCAGGACTGCTGGCCTGTGCCCGAGATCCTGCCGTGGCAGAGGAGGGTGACTGTGCTGGAGGTCTCCTCCCTGTCCACGTCTCTCTGAGGAAGTGTGGCCCTGCTTGGGAACACCCTCCACCACTTGGTAACTTTTTGCCCTCTGCTGTGTCTCTGCCCCTAAGTGTGTGTGCACGTCCTCTGGCTCAGGCCTCCACATGCACATCCCTGGCCCTACAGGGCCTTCCCCTCCCCGAGGCCAGAGGCAGGTGGGCTCGGCCCCCCAGAGAGTGCCACCTCCTGGGAAGCCCTTCCCCTGGGTTTCCTCCACCTGGACTACATCCCTAGATCTATCTAGATTTAGCGATATGCAAGTAAATCTAGATATGCAAGTCAATCCTAGAACAGGGCGTGGTTCAATATGTGAGATCCCGGGAGTTCTCCAGGAACCTTTGATGAGAGGCTCACTCTCGTGGTGTTTGGGGACTTTCCTGATGACAGAGGGCACGCCTTTTCGTTGTTTCTTGTACCTGATCCAGCATCCCTGAAAGGCCCTTTCCTGAAGCATCCCCTTAGGGTAGGGGTCTGCCTCGTGGCTTGGTGCTGCCACCCTGCATCCTATCCTCCAACCCAAGCCCCGGGGTCTGGTTCAGTGGATTTCTGATCTCAGCATTCTGGTGGCAGCCACACTCAGCTCCCAGGCCCACGAGAGAGCCAGACACCTGGGCGAGATGGAGGGACATCTGGCCCTGGGGACTAGTCTAGTGGAGCCCTCATGGCCTGTCACCCGTAGCACATGCCTCCGGGGCCAAAAACTAGAACCCTGCCTGCATTTGCCCCAAGGTCGGAAGGTGGCTTCCTCTGCTTTGGGAGGGGATGGTTCCATGTCACAGGAACTGGATTGGGACTCGGCAGCCTTAGGCAGTGCCTCCAGAGACGGGGAAGTGGTAATTGGGGTTCCTAGTGAATCACGTTCCTTTGATTTCTTTTCCAGAGAAAAGAGAAGATTTTATCTGAGGATCTGTCAGGCTCTTGCTTATGATTGACGCTGGCACTTCTTGGAAAGTCCCGTGTTTTGTGGGAACCGTCGGCTCCTGCTCTGAAGGGGCTCTGTGCTTTGGCACACTCCGCGTCACTTCTGTCAGCTCCAAGACCGTGTTTATCGCAGCCTTATTAGTTCCAAGTGCCCAACTCCCCGTTTTGCATCTTGAATGTGATGTCTGTCAGTTTTTCGGATTTCTCCTTTGATCCCCAGCTGGGAATTCCTGCGAGACAGACACCGAGGCTCACACTTTCAGGAGACAGCTTTCCTCTCAAGTGCTTGGCTCCTCCTAAGCCGCGGGGGACAGAAGCCCTGGCTGGTGGCCAAGCCTGCACCTGCCTTGGTCTCTCCCTCTCACCCTCCTGGGATTTCAGTTGACGGCCAAGGGGATGATGACATGGAAGTGTCACCTACACCCGGAAGCTAGTGCCCACCACAGTGCAACAAAGGTGTGCCCCAAACTCCTCCTGCCCACCGTGTGCATGGCCACCCTTGAGACACCTGAGCTGCAGGCCCTGGTCCTGCAAGTCCCACTACACTCTCATTTTCAGAAACCACCTGGGAAATTCCATGTGAGCTCTTTCTGATTGTCACAACTCAAAAGAAAGGAGGAGCTGGTCTCTTCAGCTCCATGCAGACAGCTGCTTACGAGGCCAGGCTGGCGCCACGTGTGCCAGGGAAGGGGACGCGTAGGACCTTCCGCGGCCTCCCAGCACTCAGACCCTCCACATCCCAACAGCTGGCTGCCTGGAGACTGCTTCTCCCTGCACAGCACCTTCACCTTCTCTCCGCCTCTCTTGCCATAGGAAGCCCGGCCAGGGGCCCAGCAGAGCTGGGTTGGCAGCCGCCATCACGCCTTCCACACAGAGGTCCGCAGAGAGACCTGGCTGGAGCCTGCACACTGGCCTCTGGGAAGCTGCTGAGATTTCGGGCCTCGCTTGCACGGTCCTGGTTTTCCTCTGCCGGCTACACAGAATGAATGACAGACCAAGATTCTTTTTTTTTTTTAATTTAAAGAACTGAAAATCATATTCAGCTCTAATTTATGTATTTTGCGATACATGCTGGAGTTACAAAAGTGGAAATGTTTAGTCTGCACTCATTTCAGTAAGAAGCAAAGAGCCAGGAACCGGGTGAGAGAACAGCAGATCCTCCATCTGGTGCTGAGGTCTGTAGCCCCTCCTCCCCCACATGCCTGCCTTGTTCCTGGGCACCTAACTGTCCCTTCCTGGGCTGCGAGAGCTTCAGACATTGCTGGCATGTGGTCCCTTCCCCCAACATTCAGCAGAGGGCTCTGCTCAGAGTGTGGATTTGGATTGAATGTTATTTTGGGGTGGGTGGCTATAATAGCTAAGAACCATCACAAAGCAATTACTGGAAGCAGGAATATTTTATCATCCTAATCGCAGGGAAAAACAACACTCATTTGCTGTTTTTTTTTTTTTAATAAAACCTTTATGTTCACTCCCAGAGACCAGTGCTGCAGTCTGTAGTTTATTCCTAGATCTTTGCAAACAGGACTCATCTGACTTCATCAACCCATAATTTGTTTGCACATTATTTTGGAAGTTTTTTGGGATAAGTTAAAATTTAAAAAACTAATTGATGCAAGCTTGTTTCTAAGTTAAGTTATTAGGCAGTTAAGTTATATATGGCTTCTCAAATATCCATCCTTAAAGAAAATAAAGCGTATGGGCCCTGCCAGGGAGTAAAACTTGATTTGGTTTCACTTGGAGCCAAATATATCTTCAGATAAAGCTGCATGAGCCGGAACATTCCATCTAGCTCCTGGCACCGAGCGGGCATCAGATCTGCACTGAATAAATGGATGCATATATTTGTTGGTGTTTTCCATCTCATTATGGCCACGACTTAGTATTTTTAAAATAATCATTTTGCCCAAACATTAACCAATATGTTGCAACAGAGCAGAGGAACAGTCGGCAACAGGGCATGCTTTCGCGAATTTCTCATCTTCTGGAAGTGAAAGGGCTGTTTCTATTTTTAGTTTTCTCCCTGGAGGATGGGCTCCTGGTCTGGGTGCTCTCCCCGTCTGCCTCGAGGGGAGCAGAGCAGAGCCTCCGGACCCTTCCCCAGCATCCACACCCCTCGTTCACAGCCATCCGAGAGGGGGAAAAGCCTCTCCCTTGACGGCTTTGAGCACTCTCCTGGCCTGAGACAGAAGCCTGTGACCTGGGCAGGCAGGAAATGGGACCCCTCCCAGCTCCAGTCCCGCAGATTCAGTCCACCCGGGCCTCAGGGCCTCCTCTCAGCACCCGGGAGCCCGACAGGTGGAGCATTAAGCAGAGGCTGTCACGAGGGTCAGCAGGGAAGCCGCCACAACTGGCCATCTGCCCAGATCTCTTGACTTCAGCACGTGGATGACGCCGCGTGCTGGATGAGCTATGGTGGTAAGTGGGAGTCAGAGGACCCCGGGACAGGCCATCACCAGGCCGGCAGAAGTTACTCTGCTTCCTGGAGAAAGGGGTGTGCTGGCAGCACCCCCTGCTTAGAAGGGGCATGCCAAGGAGCGCTGGGCAGAGGGGGCCACTGGGCACAGGATTTCACAGCAGGGGTCAGCGGATGTGCAGCCCCGAGGCTGGCAGATGTGCTGGGAATGGAATTTGTGTGTTTTACCCATTATAGCCCTTCCTGTTCTGTCGCAGCGTCTTCTATTCTGCAAGAAGTTGTTCTAAGCTGTACAGAGCTCACTTCTCCTGGGCAGAGGGGGCCGTGCTGCGTTCAGGTGTTGGTGGCTGTGTTCTGCAGTGTCTGCATCTGCTCTGCCTGGGGGCAAGGGGGAAGGGAGGGGTATCGAGGGACTCTGCTCTCCTGGCTTTCAGAAGCTCCCCTCCCAGCCTCCCACCTGCCCCAGAAAGGCTGTGGACCAGGGAGGACGTCCCAGAGGTCTGGAGCTGTCTCCCTGGGCTGCACTTTTCTGATTCTTTGGATAGTCATTGCTGCCTTAGAAGCAGTGAACACAAGTTTAGATGAACGTTTTCCAAACTGGCATAGTACAGTCCTTAAGGAGGAGGCATTGGACCACAAAATTGAAGCAGGTTCTCCCTTGCAGGGCATCCCAGAGTCCTCCAAATGCTCTTGGCAGGGGTCATTCCAGTGAGGTGTGCACTTCGGAATGTGCTGGCCCCAGGAAGGCCTCTGTCTTCACAACGTGTCTATGACCAACCCGCCCCAGCTGGCGTGTGGAGCTGGCAGTCAACCCTGCAGTCTCCCTGGCAGCCGACCACTGGACGGCAGTGGCAGCTGCAGTGGGCCACAGCTGCCTTGGTGGCACCCAGAGAAAAGACCTCCTTGCGTCGGCTGTAAAGGCAGTGTCCTTGGCGTCAGCAAAGGCCCACTTGCTAGTTTTCATGTGCAACTGGGGCTCGTTGTTTTTTTTCATATCCTTCATTATATTTTCTCACTTTCTAATTGTTAGCTTTGGGAAGTATTATTTTATTGGACAACCGTGGCTTTCTTCATCCATTCTCAGGGTCTATTACTTTAATTCCGTCTATAACATTTTATGTCATTTGGAGTGTACTTTATTTCTCCTAGTTTTTTTAAGATAAACACCTAATTCATTTTTATTCATATTTTTAAATAATAGAAGACTCCAAAGCTATGAATCGTCTCTGAGTTCAATGTCAATTAAATTCTATGAATTTTGATGTGTGCTTTATATTTTTTTCTCTTTTTTCAGTAATCCAGTTTCAAGTGTTTACCTCTTTGGCACAAGAAACACATTTTCAGAGGCATGTTTTTGTTGCATTTTAAGCAAGAGATATTAATTGTGCCACATAATGGTAAGTGCTGTAGAGCATAAATGTGCAACAAGGCACAGGGCTGTCCAGGCCCTGGATGCCAGGAGCTGGATGCTAGGCAGACACCCGGGTGCCCATGGGGAGGTGTCCCAGGAGAGACAGGGGAGGTGCTAGGGGACATGGGTCTCCTGGGTGGTGGAGGCAGCCTTGGGGCTTGCTGGGGCCCAGCGTCTGCAGGCACTCACCTTGTGCAGACCGTTGGACCTGTGCAAGGTGCAGAGGCTGCTGGTCCTCACGGCAGACTGTAAAGCCATTGGCATCACCACCACCTCCACTTTCAGATGGGGAAACCGAAGCACGGGAGGGGAAGTGCTGGCCCCGGTCAGAAGCTAGCGAGCCACAGTCAGGGCTCAAGCCGGAAGCCTGCCGAGGTGTGCGGCGGTGCTGCTCAGCACTGCCCTTGAAGTCGGTATGGTGGTCACTGGATCTGACCTCCCACCCTGCTCTCCTTTTCACAAGGAGAAGGGGAGTCGAGGAGAGGCCTTGCTGCTGTCCATCACTGTTCACTGTCCCTGGCTGGTGCAGCAGGGGCCAGAAGCTCTGGGCTCCCAGGTGGGCCCTCTGCACACTGGGCTGGGGACTCCCTTCTCCGACCCTGTCATCTTGAGCAGCCAAAGTCTCAGCCGTGTTTCCCCACAGCAGTTACTGGCCACAGTCTACAGCCAGGGGCAGATTAGAGGGCTGCTCACAGGGTGGTGGAGCCAGCTTGGGCCACGCCCTTGGGAGGTGGCACAGGGAGGTGAGGGGCAGGAGAGGCGCAGGAGCACCAGGCTCCTCAGGGGCCACCCAGCACACCTTCCTTCCCTCCCTTCCCTGTGGCAGGCCAGCTGGGCTCCCAGCCCTGCCCTGTGGCTGAGAAAACAGGCCCTCCCTGAGGTTAGGGACCTGCCAGGCCCCGGTGAACTGAGCCCCAACTTCTAGACGTCTTCTCGAACCTGCATCCTCCACTTCAGAAGATTCAGGAGGCAGGGCTCTGAGGGAAACTGGGTGGGGCTCCCTGGCCTCTCCCTCCTGGCTGGGTGGGGCTCCCCACCATCTCCCTCCTGGATGGCTGGGAGGCTCTCTTTCCTGCTTATGGTCTGAAGTGTTTGTAGAAAGTTCTTCTGAAACAGTCCCATTAACTGAACCCCGTTGGCTGGAAGCCACACCTGTTCTATGGTGGGGTGGGAAAGGGCTGCTGACCTCCCAGGTGGGACCCTGGGAGAGGCTCACTGGGGCAGGGCTGGCATCTGTGCTGCAGAAGGGCTTGTGGCCCGGTCTGAGCTATCAGAGGGCCAGCTGGAAAGTGAGGGGAAGCGGCTGCTGGCCATATGGGGAACAGACAGCGTCCGACGAGGCACCTTACTGCAGCAAATGCTCATGTCACTCGGAGCATGTGCCCCGTCGGTCTCTCCCCACATGGGTAAGCTCTTTATTAGATTATTTAACAACTGAGCTTGTTGTTAGCTTTGCCATGAATCACTTGAATAATGCACATGACTCAACCTTTAGGTGTGTTGAGACACATTTTTGCAATAAAGATATCGAGTTCATCCAAACAACTACTTCCTAAGGCTCTGTCCCTCCGTGGGGCTTCACTGATGGGGTATGGGAAGACAGCGGTTGCCCTGAGTGTCTCCGTGAACTCTGGATGCCAGGCAGAGGCCACGACCCCTCCACGGGCTCTTGGGCAGCTTCACACTCTCCAGCCCCGACTGATGGATCCAACGACTCGGCGTTGTGCTGTGAAGCAGCTCGAGGAACCGCACTCAGGCGGAGGAACGAGGGCAGGCTGCGTTTAGGATCTAAAGCTCTTCATATGGTTCTCAGGAGCGAGTCCTCAGAGAGAGCTGAACTGTGGTGGTCAGACACTGAGCCCCTGCTCCTGGGGATGATTCCGACCACCATGTTCCCTCCGCCCATGATGAGCGGAGGCCACAGGCCTGGCACGGAGGGCCTCTCCCGACTCTCAGCCATGGGGAGCTCCCCTGCAGGCCTCACAGGTGGCCTGGGGTGTGGCCGCCTGAGGCCCTCTGCCCGGCTGGCGCTCTGGGCCCTCCCAGGCTGGAGCACCTCGGCCTTTGCTTCTCTGAGCCTCTGTCCTGTGTCGGGGGAGGCACAGCGAGTCGAGGAACCGTGGAAGTGGCTCAAAGTATACGGAGATCTCTTCCAGACGTGGTCTTGCTCTCCCCGTTGGCTTTCAACATGCGCCTCTGGGGTGGACACTCCCAGCTGGCAGGGCACCGACACAGGCACACGTGCCCCCGTGAGAGGAAGAGAGGGGGCGGAGGGGCTTCATGTTGGGGTGGAACATCTCAGAGGGCAGGGGAAGGCCTCCGAGGCCCTGCTCCAAGACCTGGGCATCCACCTCTGTGTGCCCTTGGCCTCAGGCTGCCCTGGGAGGTGGGGGAGAGGCTCGGCTGCCTGGACAGCATGCCACACCCTGGCTAGCCAGAGCAGCGGGACACAGCCTCTCACGGCTGTGTAGACCAGCTGTCTGGAGGAGGTGGCAGCAGGGTCGCGCCCCCTGAAGGCTCTTGGGAGGGTCCTTCCTGCCTCCTTGGCCTCTGGTGGCCCCAGGAGTCCCCATCTCTGCCTTCACTTGGCCACAGACCCACTTTTGTACCTTGGCCCTGTGTCTTACGAGGACACAGGTCTTGAGACATAGGGCCACTTTGGATGATCCAGAAGATAGATCCCATCTAGGGATCCTTATCTTAATCACATAGTGAAGAACTTTTTTTCCTAACAAAGGCACATTCACAGGTTCAGGTAGGTACATGATTGTCCCAATGGCAGACAAGAGGGCCCTAGCAGGCAGAGGTGGGTGAAGGTCCACACAGGATGTCACGCAGTGGAGGCCAGGCTGCCCATGCGATGCGCCTCTGCCCTGCATGCACCTGGGCCGCCGAGAGGGCCCTGGACAGTTGTGCTCCTCCAAGCCCAGGGAGGACGGCCTCACGCACCCTCTGCACAGCGCGTGGTCCATGGTGGAAGGCCAGCTGCATGCTCACGGCTGCACTTCATGCCCACTAGGCCCCTTCGGCCCGTGAGGAGGACAGCAGTGCCCCTGGCTTCTGGAGCTGTCACAGGACGGACGGGCTTCCCAAAGTGTCTTCTCTAGGATGGACCTCTGCTCCAGGGACCCTCCCTGGTGCCCCAGTCCCACAGAGGGTCTAACATCCTCTGCCAGAAATGCCCACGGCTCCTGGCTCCACAGAGCACCCGAAGCCCGCATGCTGAGCTGTGGGCGTGCTCCTGCCGAGGGGCAGCAGGTGGGCTGCCGGTGTGCTCCTGCCGAGGGGCACCGCTGTGTCTCTGTTACTCACTCAGAGGATTTTGAGGTGCCCTCGCTGTGAGCCACCTGGACAGAGGACCCAGACCCGCGTTGGTGAACTTGAGCCTCCATGAATGTCTGGCTGGCTTATCTCACAGGACTCATGGAGCACATTTTCCCAGGGCCTGGGGAAGAAGATGGTCAGCAGGCGTAGAAGGAAGAGACCACACTGATGACACAGGAGCCTTTGAGAGTAGCCCAGAGGGAGGGTGAGACCGGCCGGAGCTGGACTGGGCTGGAGTGGGGCATCAGGTGAGGCCAGCAGGAGAGCTGGGGCCAGGGAGGGACACCTGTCAGGAGGTCACTGCCGTGGCCCTGTGTGAGGGTGGAGGCAGCGTTGTCCTGGTGACAGCTCCACATGCCCTGGTCAGGGTCAGGCTCTCCCTGGCCTGTGGCCTTGGCTTCCTGTCCCCTTACCTGTAGACTGACTTCCTTGCTAGCAGTTTGTTGGATTCCGCGGTTCTGATCAGGTTAGCCATTTGCACCTCTCGCCTGGAGTGTGAAGGTCATTTGTTCTTGGTGTGACCTTCGGTGCGGTCAGCTCTGGTCTTCCACGTTGCCAGGGTCCTCTGTTGGCTCCGTCGCCATTCCTTTCTCACCCTCCTTTGGATTATTAAACCGTTTTCCTGGTATTTTGTTTGACCCCTTCTGTTGATTCCCAGTGATTTCTTTCTGTGCTTCTGTTACAGCTGTAGAATCACAGCATGCGTCGTGGCCCAGCGGCGTCCGGGAGGAGCTTGCCCTCGACCACAGGGCCCAAGACTGAGAATCTGGACTCCTCTGCAGTTTTACTTCAAAGACATACAAGCCTGCTCTTCGTTGCTCTTAATTTACCAGTGCTTGCCTTGAAGTCATCAAAAGGAAAGAGGACTGCCCACCCACCCACCCCCTGGGCCCCTCCTGGAGGGTTCCTGCAGCTCTGCCTCCTCTGGATAAGAGCCCCGATGGCCTTCTGGCCCACGAGTGCGTTGGCTGCACACTCTCCCCACTCCCACTCTTTGGGAAATGCCTTTGTCCCCCTTCGTTGGGTCCATTTGTCTTGGGGTGGCAGGATTTATTCTCAGCTCTGGACACATCGTTCCTTGTCCTCTGACAGCTTTGTTCCGCATGAGAAATCCATGCTGCTCCTTCTCGGGGCTCTCCTGTGCATGATGGATATTTTTCTCCTGATGGTTTTTAGATTTTTCTTTATCTATGGTTTTCATGAATTCAACTATGATGTGCCTAGATGTAATTTTATTTGAATTTATTATATTTGGCATTTATTAAGTTTCTTAAATTTGTGGGTTTTTTCCCCATCAAATTTGATAAATTCCCAGTGACTATATCTTATCTTGTTCTCCACCCCGTGATTCTTTTCTCCTTCGGGAAATTTATTTCTGCATGTCATAGATGACTTGAAATTCCCCCAATGTTGCTGACTCTATGTTTGCTTATGTTCCAGCAATGTTTTGGATTTTTTTTTTTTTTATTTTAGAAAACTTTTACATTTGTGGAATTACTGCAAAAGGACCACGTCCCTCCAGCTGCACGCGGGTTGTCCTACATCAGTTTGGTCACGGGGCACAGTTGCCAACAGGTCTCCACACATTGTTACTAGTCTCTCGACACATTGTTACTAGTCTCCCCACACACGCCATCCCGTCTACCCCAGGAGCCCATCTGGAATGCGGTCGTGCATCCAGCTGTCCTGTCCCTATGGTCTCCTCTTGATGGTGACGCTTGCAGATCCACCTTGTTCATGGCGACCTTCGACTGGTCAGGTATCCTGGGAGCTCCCTGCAGTGGTCAGGCCAGGTAGTATGTCTAGAGGAAGACAGCGAGGACGAGGTCCCTGGTGTCCCTGCTGTCCTGACTCCTCACTGCCCATGCTGTCTTGGTCCAGAGTGAGGGGGGTGGGTCAGTTTCTGCAGGTGGCTACTGTTTCTTTCCCTCCACTTGCAAACTGCTGTCCTTTGGGGAGTCACTTAGGCACAGCCCACACTTGAGGAGCCAGGGACACCCCACAGAGGGTCTTCCACACAGGACACAGTTGCTCTCTCCAATTGATTTGCTTATTCACTTCATCATGTATTATTGTCTGGGTGGCTCCTGGGTATGCATTTCATACTCTGGTTATACGGGGTGGTATTGATTTTCCTGCTCCAATCACCCTAGCTTTGGTGACGGGGAGTTCTCCCGACTGATCCCTAATCCCTCTGCCCATCCCCATCGTGGGGTTGGTTGGAACACGTCCTCTCTGGGGCTCTTCCTGTGTGTTTCCTGCCCCTTGTTCACACACACGTCTGTTCTGCTGCCGTCTGTGGCCCTCGGTGTCTGCGCCTCATAGCCCACCAAGGCTGTCCTGTGCGCTTCACAATGTGTGCAGCAGGTTTTCTCTCTTCTGAAGCTTCGATCCCTTCTGCCGATTCTCTTCTGTGGGTCTCTCTGCAGGGAAGCCATCGTGGGCTTGAGCTTCCAGACACCGTGCCCTGGGTTCGCATTGTCTGCTCAGTCACTCCTACTGCCACCCACTGCGCCTCCTGTTCTGCGAGTTCCTCGCCGTACCTGCTCCCTGCATCTCTTGACCTACCTGCGGCTTCCTGGTGTCTTGGGGTCTCCCCCATGTGGTCTGGGCACCGTCCTGAAGGAAGGGAGATGGAGGTCTGGCTCTCCTTTCCGCTCCTCCCCAGGTGGCGGCAGGCGGTCATTCCTGCTTGCTACAGTGGTCTGAGCTGGCCGGGGATGGCGGCTCCAACCAGGTGGAGCTCACTGTGGTCATCACTGAGGTCAGCCCAGTGGACAGATACTTTTCTGATCTGGGAGGGAGGTGGGCTGAAGCTTCAGATATTTCTAACTCAACATTAAATTCAATCCTAGAAGAACCATGGAATCCGAGCCCAACAAGAAAGAGCAACATCAAAATCTCCCTGACCAGCCTGTGTCTAGCAATGTTTTGGGGGGCAATCTTGAGGGGACAGTGATTGGAGGAATCCCTGGGCCGATGCTCAGGCTTTGCCTCCGAGGTATTGCAGATGACTCCAGGTGGCACATGTCTCCCCGGGCCCTCCCCGTCCCCGGCCATGACCCTGCAGGTCTGCGAAGCTTCTGCACCTAAGCACTTGTCCAGCTGTGGCGCCCGCCGCGGGTCTGCCGTCCACCGTGAGGCTCTTCAGTTGCTGAATTCAGTCCATCGAGCTTCCTTGCCTCTGCCACTCTTTGTCAGCTCCTGTCTTAATTTTGTCTGATTTTAAATTTCTATTGCTAATTAGTGAAAGGCATTAAGGGTGATTTTTGCCTCTGATTTTAAAACTACTTTGCACTAGGGGGTATGCATCCTGGTGTCCAGAGTCACCAACTGATCAAGGTGGTGGTCAAGGGGACACTAAAGAGGGAGGTCCTCCCACTCTTTCCCACATGGTGATGCTCTTCTCAAATACGACTGAGCCAAACAGAAAATCCCAGGTAACAATAAATGAATGACTCTACAAAATTAGTTCTTTTTTAGCACACTCAGTTTTGAATATAAGTTATGAATGGCGCAGTGACCTTCATAGGAAGTAGAGAGTAGGGAAACAGAAACCCGCTGCTTGGCTTCCACTGTCAGGATCCTAGGATGGTTGTGCTCAGTGTCCTTTATTTTTTTAAATTTTATTCTAATCAACAGATACTATTTGTACCTACTTCCGGGGTGCAATGTTGTAATTCAAACCCGTGCACAGCCTAGAAACCCCAGGCAGGGCCATCGGCACATCCATGTCCTCAAGTACCATGTCCATGTGCGTAAGGACTTGCATAGATGTCATTACCCTCCTGCACTCTGGGACGTCAGAGTTACTTCGTGTCTAGCTGGACTTTGGTCCTCATTACCCCCTATTCTTCCCACCCTCCCAGGCCTCTGGTGATCTCCATTTTACTTTCTTCTTCAATGTAATCAACATATTTTTTAGCATCCACTATTTAACAAGAATCTTACAAACTGAATGTAATTTGAGTACTTAAAATACGCAAGTTTATTTAGATACATCACTGCATCATGAATTTGTTTCTGAACTTTTCAAGTTCCATTTTTGTGAGATGGATGTCAGTAGAATACCAAAACCAGTGTCTAAAAGTCCTTTGGAGCTTTCTAAAATTGATTAGTAACATGGGGAAAGCAGTGTTGGTGGAGGGTGGCACTCGGCCTCTCAGTCTCTCCTTGATTTAGCTAAGAACTGAGACGGTGGAATTGAAGGGTCCCCAGACTACGTGGATCTGCAGGTGGGCAGGCATTTTCAAAGGAAAAACAGATGGAAAGTATTCTTCATATGTATTTATTTCATGAAGGTGAAATGTCTGTTTGTGGACTATGTTTTCACAGGAGTCTAAGTATTTTTGTGACAATCACCTTGAGCTTACAGGTTAGGGGGTGCTGCAGGGGGTCGCATGAGCTCATGGTGGTGAGGGCCCCCTCCAGGGTTCGTGCCTTGAGCACAGAGTCTCTATGTGGTGTGCTGTTCGTGTTTCCCTTGCTACACACTCGAGGAAGCATGCGTCCAGGCCACAGTGGGGGACCAGGGTGCGGAAGTGGCTCACTGGCCAGATCTGCCCACAGACGCCTTCCTGGTAAGCAGACAGGAACTGAGCTGGTGTTCCTTCCTGACAACGAGATGCCCAGTCCAGTGTGTGTGCCTGACCTGGTGCTGAGGCCCACGCCTGTGCAGTGGGCTCACAGCCTCTGCAGGGCCTGTGTGGACGCTGCTCTGTGGGTTGGCGAGGAGGACCAGAGAGGCCGGTCGTGGGAAGGCCAGCCAGAGCAGCACTTCCGAGGCCCGGGCCCTGTCTGGGCACGCGGGACTTCACACACTCTTTGGGAAGGACCGCGTGCTGTATTTTCAGACTTAGCTACAGCTGCCGTGATCTCAGGCTGCTGTCCTCACCCTGGTGTCTGATCACACATTCAGAATACCCGGCAGAGGCACATCTGCTGCCCCATGTCAGTAAAAGTGACAAGAAATTGTTTTTGCTTATTTAAAAACTATTCAATCACTTCTTATATTTAGGTTGTAATAGATCTTTTTATAAAAATCCAGAATTGATGAGCCATGCCTGCTGGGTGGTCTGCTGGGGTGAGGGCTTTGGGGAGCGCTGGCCTAGGTACACATACTTACTAGCAGTGGAGGTCCTCACAGAAGCCAACGGCGGCCTGGACCAGGAGGCGTCAGGAGCAGGTCACACCCTCACTCATGGCCCTGCTGTGAATGCTGGGAGAGGATGGTGCCCAGGGCCGTGGAGAAAGATAGAACAGGCCGCCTCGGGGCCCGTCACACAGCAGGAGGGCGAAAGAGGAGCCACCTTGGAGTGCAGCACAGCCTGGTGCTGTACTACCCAGACTGTTAGAATCTTCCATTACGGCCATTTTGGCTTTTCTTATGATGAAATAAACAATAGTTTACAGACAATATACAGATATTTTCTTGCTGTACTACATTTTCAAAAATCTCAAGTTGTCTCATTCTCAACAAAGGTTGCAACTTATTATCTAATTATAAAATACATTACTGCCTGGAAATTGCCAAGTTACAATAGTTATTAACACACACGTGATGCTCACTGCTATCATTGGGCAGAATTTTTGACCAGACATGGCCATAAAAGAAGTGATATTTACTTCCTCAACTCCACACGAGCTGTGCTTTCCCAGTAAGTGACCTGGGGACCAGTGTCTGCACTTAAACTAGGTCTTTCTCCCAAGTCCGTTTGGAACACTCAAGCTGCATCATCCTCACGGTAAGTGCATGATCGGACACACGCCTCATCACAGCATGGCTGGTACAGGACGTCTCACCACCGACAACACATCCTGCTTGAGGGCAAACGTCTACTGCTCTTCCCTTCTCCTGCCTGGGATTCACCTCCCTCACCCGGGTCCCGAGCTCACCCTCGGGGGCCTCCAGGTCCCATGGGGAGGCTGTCGAAGGTGAAGGTCTGATCGTGGTGTGGACGATGTGGACCAGGTGGAGGTGCTGGAGATGCCCAGTTCTGACCTGTCAGAGCCTGGGGCTGGAAGCCCAGGGCGAGGTTGGGCAGCGACAGGGCAGGGGCAGGGGCAAGGGCAGGGGAGGAACCCGGTTCTGCCTGGGACAGTGTGACCGGAGCCCTGCACTCTTCCTGCCGTCCTCATCCCCCGAGGAACTTTGGGGACTCCAAACACCTCCCACAAGCAGGTTCCTGGTGACTCCTCCTTCCTGATTCTGGCATTGGGCGCCATCTGTTTACTTCACCCTAAGGACACTCCAGGGTTCAGGCTGGGCTCTGGCCACAGTTCTGTGGTGCCCACTGTGACCAGCTGGCACACGCCCAGGACCTGCCTG